GGGGGCTGGGTTTCTGAAAGGGGAAAATAAAAGAGTGTGAGTGAAAGATATGAGATTAGTTGTAGAATAAAGGGTCAAGGAATTCTGAAATGGTTTGATAGAGCCTATAAGAATAAATGGAATAGCGCGTGGGGGAAGATTGTGAATCGAAGAAAAAATCTATTTGACGAGTTCTCGATCTGAAGTAAACCCAGGCTTAATTATTCATCGGTATTCATTGACCTTGAAATATCAGTATTAGATTAGGTTTAAAGTTTAAAGTTTCAATATGCTACGAAATGTGAAACGAAACCTTTTAACCCTTAAAAAATAGAAAGCTCTAGTTTTTGGTCTATAACTCTCATTTTTGACAGAAAAGCCGTTGGATGTTGTGAATAAATCTAAAATGTCCAATTCTTTAAACAATTTGAATTACATATTTGAAAAGTTCTTGAAAAAAATACATTTAAAAACTTGGTAATATATTTGATCTACTGGATGCCGCGAAGTGTTCTGAATGTTTAAAGACGGGTGGAAAGTATTTGATCTACTGGATGCCGCGAAGTGTTCTGAATGTTGAAGAGTTTGTTGATTTTACGGAGACAAGGTTCCTTCTCCGGGTTCTGCTCCGGAGCCGACAGTTCGAGTTTAGTCTCCCGTCCTCCTATCCCCGGCCTTGCTACAGTCGGTATACAGATATCAAACCTAGTACATATACGCGTATTCAGATATCAAACTTAGTAAACTACGTGTGTCCAGATATCAAACTTAGTACACTACGTGTATCCAGATATCATACCTAGTACACTACGTGTATCCAGATATCAAACCTAGTTCACTACGGTATCCAGCTATCAAACCTAGTACACTAGTGCATCCAAATAGCAAACTAGAACACTATTTGCATCCAGATATCTAACCTATAGTACTCTACGTGTATTCAGATATCAAATCCAGTACACTACGTGTATCCAGATATCCTGGTGAAATACGTGTATCCAAAACTGATCAACATCAATATCCAAATATCCAAACAATAAAACTTCGTGTATACTTCCTGGTTACGAAGTCCGTATCTAGATATCCCAACATCAACTCTGTGAACCTATTTCTGCTTTCTAGACAATACCTAGATATCCCAACATCAACTCTGTGAATCTATTTCTGTTTCTTAGACAATATCTAGATATCCCAACATCAACTCTGTGAACCTATTTCTGTTTCCTAGACAATATCCGGAAATCCAAACAAAGTCCTGTTTAACAGCCTAATATAATATATACATACAAATTACAGTTCATGTATCAAAGCTGTTAAAGTTTTTCCAACCATACATAGACTGTGTATCCAACTCAAGGCGGATATCCAGTGTCCAGATTCAGATCTGATATCCAACCCCTGGTATTAAAGAATAGGACGATAATCCTTGGATATAAACTATTCTAGTGAAGTTAGAAATACTCTTGTAAACCCGAAGAAAATGTTTTTCCTTTCATTCTACACAAGGATAAGACTGAGAATTTAATCAGCATAATTTAACATATCTTTAAAGGTAAGATTTGAAGAAATTGTTTTTTTTTATTAAATTAATTTTGCTCCAAAAATTTTGCAAATGATTTCCAGAGAGCCCATTATATACTACATACTATAGCGTATACTATACTTGACTTGTAACCAAGCTATGTCTGGAAATTATTATTTCCGTTTAGAAGTCAACCCAATCATTTCAGTACTTTTCCGTTTAGAAGTCAACCCAATCATATCAGAACTTTTCCGTTTAGAAGTCAACCCAATCATTTCAGAACTTTTCCGTTTAGAAGTCAAACCAATCATTTCAGAACTTTTCCGTTTAGAAGTTCACCCACTCATTTCAGAACTTTTCCGTTTAGAAGTCAACCCAATCATTTCAGAACTTTTCCGTTTAAAAGTCAACCCAATCATTTCAGAACTTTTCCGTTTAGAAGTCAACCCAATCATTTCAGAACTTTTCCGTTTAGAAGTCAACCCAATAATTTCAGAACTTTTCCGTTTAGAAGTCAACCCAATCATTTCAGTACTTTTCCGTTTAGAAGTCAACCCAATCATATCAGAACTTTTCCGTTTAGAAGTCAACCCAATCATTTCAGAACTTTTCCGTTTAGAAGTCAAACCAATCATTTCAGAACTTTTCCGTTTTCATTTCAGAACTTTTCCGTTTAGAAGTCAACCCAATCATTTCAGAACTTTTCCGTTTAAAAGTCAACCCAATCATTTCAGAACTTTTTAACCCAACTTAAAATAATCTTATTATTCCCTAGTTACCCAATCAAAGTTTCAGGCAAAGTAAACTTGTTTTAAAATAATGTAGGAAGAAATGACAAAAAAGCCAGAAATTCTATAAAAATGTTGAATCGACCAAAAGGTCCGAATTCTTTGATTCTCAAGTTGGAATAAATTATTTTTGAATTAGGGTTTTTTTTAATCTTAATATTTGCAAAAGCCGAAAAGAGTTTTTTTTTCTAGCTAGAAGCTATAATGTCTACATTTGGTTTCTCATGTAAGAGTTCTTGAATTTCTGTACAAATTATTCAAGTAACAGTAAAGTAATGTTTCATAAAACGTTTATGCAAATTATAAAGAAAGAATTCAGTATATGGTAGAATTGTACGTACAGCTAAAAAAAAATATAAAAGGAAAAGTAAAAAACAAAATATAGTAGAATACATGATAATGTAATAGAATACAGGATAAAACATTAGAATACATCATAACAATACATTAGAATACAAAATAATGTATTTTGAAGCAGAAAAATACTGTAGAATAAAGGTGTTAGGTACTTTCATAAAGGCATTTTCCCTTGGACGACTTCCCAAGTATCAATTTCCCAAGTGGCAACTCCCGAAATGTGCAATTTATCGAGCGGCAACTTCCCAAAGGTTAGGTTAGGCCCTCTGAGGCGCCGCAGGCTGCAATGGGGGCCGATCATTGCGGCTAGGATGGATTTGGGGGCCGAGCGCAGCGGCTAGAACAGGCTGGGGCCGATTGCTGCGGCTAGGACAGACTTTGGAAGTTGCCGCTTGGGAAAATGTCTTTGGGAAAGTACCTAACTTCAGAATATATACAATTAAATACGGTATGATACAGTATAATACAGTAGAATACACAGTATTATACAGTAAAATACAGATGAATACAGCAGAATACAGTAAAATAGAGGCAAATACAGTGGAATACAATAGAATACAATATAATACAGTAGAATACAGTAGAATGCAGTAGAATACAGTAGAATAGAGTAGAATACAGTAGAATACAGTAGAATACAGTAGAATACAGTAGAATACAGTAGAATACAGTAGAATACAGTAGAATACAGTAGAATACAGTAGAGGAGAAGGAGGAGGAGAAGGTTATATGGAGATAGGATTAAGTGTGGAAGATATGTATTCATAACCAGGACAACAATATCATCATTATCAGTATTATCATTAATTTTATAAAACAAAAAACCCTCCACCTACGACGAACTAAATATGCAGGGCTCTTATGTATGTTCAAGTACAAGCTCCCCAATACCCCTGTTTAGATTGAGTACTTTGCATTTACTTTATAGAATATATAAAACATTTTACTTCAACTAAAAGACGAACTGAATATACTGATGGGATTATATAAATGCGAAGAAACAGATAAACCCTGTATTTACATGCACTCAGCTATCCTGACTTCTGATTGGTTGAGAAAATATCCGGGCCTCTCATTGGTCAGATTTTATAACTTTGACCAGTGAGAGAAGGGTTTAGATTTAAGCTTGGGTGAGATTAAAGCGACCTAGTACTGTCGGAGTCTGACAGGAACTGGATGGAAATTTTGGACTTTGTTTACATTTGATTTGATTTGTTGAATTGAAAACATGTTGAATTAGCAAAATTAATATTTTAATACTAATTTTTAATGGAATTTGGAATAGTACTATATATAGACAAATGTATTTTATTTTTATTAGAATTGTTATTAAATATAACCATTTTGTATTTAATACTAAAAAGATGATAAATTTATTTCTTCTTCTTAATAATTAGATTATAACNGGGGGGGGTGATGGGAATTAAGAAAATATTTGAGACTCCTTTCTTCTCTATTTGAATATTCTAAAGTTTTCAGTTGTAAAAGTAATTTTGAAGTTTCAACGAATATGATTGTAAGCTACTTACACTGCCAATTGGCTGTATGCGTTGTTTCAAATGACTCTTCTATGCAATGATGGCCTGCAATGCACGATTTACAATGGTACCCGTAAAACTAATTAAAAATAGAAATAGAAATAGAAAGTAAACTATAAAGTCTAAGGCGTTGAGACACTTTAGAGTCGATCCTGCCTAAAAACTTTTCCTACATAGCTCAGGCAGCTATGTAGGAAAAGTCTATGTCTGTGCTAGAAACAAGGAAATTATGTTGACAGTCCCTTGAAGAAAGCTGCAATTTATATGAAAAAAAATGATATGAAGTATTGCAGTAAAGTTATCCTTTATTTGCGTAAAATGTTGATGTTTGTGTGGTTTAATAACTATCTTAATGTTGGGTTTATCCCCCACTCAAACTTTTTATAACCTTCCTCTCTTCATACCTTCACTTTACATTGTTCATCTAACATATTTTCACGTCACAATATCTTTTTTATACGTCATTTTTCTCAAAATAAAAACTTTTAAATGAATTAATGTTCGTACCTCGTAGGTATTAAACACAAAATACTGTTTTATTCACTTCAAACTCCAATTTTCAAATCCCTACAAGTGTTTAACCTTATTGTATAAAACAAAAGATATTTTAAATATAGACTATTTGATCTGGCAGAATTCATAATTTAAAATATTTAAGGTGGAAGGTAATGGGAGTTTGAGGAGAGTAATCAGTTTCTTTCTGAGGGATGGGAAATAAAAATGGGTTAAGTTGTGCATTTGAAGAAAACAAACTATTGGTAATAAACTGCAGTAAATTTATTGTTTTGATTGATTTCAAAACATTGTTGATTTTTAAAAAGTGTTTTATGGTGCTATTTTTGAAAATTGGTTTTCAATGATGTGTTATACCAGTTATAGTGTATACCGGATTTAGCGTATATAGGATATAGTGTATACCGGATATAGCGTATGCCAGATATAGTGTATACCGGATATAGTGTATACCGGATATAGCGTATACCGGATTTAGTGTATACCTGATGTAGAGTATACCGGATTTAGTGTATACCAGATATAGTGTATACTGGATATAGTGTATACCGGATAGTGTATACCGGATACCGTGTATACCGGATATAGTGTATACCGGATATAGTGTATACCGGATATAGCGTATACCGGATTTAGCGTATACCGGATGTAGAGTATACCGGATTTAGTGTGTACCGGATATAGTGTATACCAGATATAGTGTATACCGGATATAGTGTATACCGGATATAGTGTATACCAGATATAGTGTATACCTGATAAAGTTTATACCGAATATGGGTTATACCGGATAAAGTGTATACCGGATGTATACCGGATATAGTGTATACCTGGTAAAGTGTATACCGAATATGGGTTATACGCAGATAAAGTGTTTACCGGATATGGGTTAAAGAAGGAACACTAAATAATTAATATAAGGCTCAAACCTAGTTAGAACTCTAGTTCAACGTTGAATTACACTTTCTTCTTTTATTATTATTATTATTTGTGTTAGCTGGGTAGTGGATACAGATTATTGGTGTTAGCTGGGTAGCCGGTACAGATTATTAGTGTTAGCTGGGTAGCGGGTACAGATTATTAGTGTTAGCTGGGTAGTGGGTACAGATTATTAGTGTTAGTTGGGTAGTGGGTACAGATTATTAGTGTTAGCTGGGTAGTGGATACAGATTAATAGTGTTAGTTGGGTAGTGGATACAGATTATTAGTGTTAGCTGGGTAGTGGGTACAGATTATTAGTGTTAGCTGGGTAGTGGGTACAGATTATTAGTGTTAGCTGGGTATTGGATACAGATTATTAGTGTTAGCTGGGTAGTGGGTACAGATTATTAGTGTTAGCTGGGTAGTGTGTACAGAATATTAGTGTTAGCTGGGTAGTGGGTACAGATTATTAGTGTTAGCTGGGTAGAGGGTACAGATTATTAGTGTTAGCTGGGTAGTGGGTACAGAATATTAGTGTTATCTGGGTAGTGGGTACAGATTATTAGTGTTAGCTGGGTAGTGGGTACAGATTATGGGTGACACATATACTCTTTGACATTTGAATTTTTCATTGCTTAGTTTTATTTTTTCTTTTATATTAAAATACCTTAAAAGCGAAACGTACTTTATTAATAATTTATGCACTTTAAATAATGCATATTGTGTATATTCCAATTATAAATTTATAACTAATTTTTGATTTTTGATATTTTTCTATATTTGACAAGGCTTTTGAAAACTCTGAAATAGGAAGACGACTTTTAGACTCAAGTTATGACTTTAAATAGTCCTTTGAGCATGGGACACAGCAGTTGTGCAGTGTAAACAGACTCATTTTACATAATTAACCATTTAACAAGGGTCTAGTAAAATTATTTGCTTTGTAACACCATCCAATACACTTGAGTATTGCTATTAAGTCGTCTTCCTATTTTACAGTTTTCTGGTTATCACTGTAGTAAATTGGAGGATTTTTAAAATAATATGTTAAAATTTTGACTATAATTGAAAAAAACTTAGTTTCCAGTAAAAGCTGGGTTCCTAGGCTTGTCTAACATATTTCTGGAGATATTTCTTTATCATTCAATATTTAATGTTTACACATCAAATGTGAATCGATTTCACTATCATTTCTTAATATCGTGTTCGAAATATCTAAAAGACCGATCGATTCGGGTTTTCTCTTTTGATAAAACTGGTTTCTTTGTGCTTAAAAATTGATACTTTACCAGTGTATTTGATCCATATCTTAAGTACTTATAAATATGTTTCTATTTAAGATTAACTTGAAATAGTGTCGACGACATACTTTGTGCTTTATGAAATTATGAAACATAGCTCTAAAAGTATAAGTCTATTAGGTTAAACATGATTTTGGCATTCTATTATTAGCAAAAACAAAAACTAAAAACCACTGAAATATTCGCAAAATCTGTTTTTTTTCTTTGTCTAAAGAAAACTTGGAAATAACTTATTCTGAAGATAAGTCTTGGCAATAAATTTTATCTCTGTACATACATCCTGCCGCATATTCAAACCTATATTCTGTAGAAAACAATTTTATTAAAAATCTAGAAAATAATAATTATATTTGTTTTTAGATTGATTAAACTTTATATTTGAGTTTATTATTAAATATTATTTTACAGACGGCAATACATATTTATTTCATCTTAATTCTGAAATATTGAATTTAGCCATGGCCCCAAACTCAGATTTTTTATATGTGGGAGGTGATTGGGGAGTGGAGAGGGGGCGATTTATAGGAAGAAGGTGGAGGAAGGGGGGGGAGNGGGAGTAAGTGTGTGGGCGTGTCTTATTTTGGTCTTCTTGTCTAAACCAAGTTTATCTCCATCTGTTCTCTCATCAATCTTTTACAGAATAATCGATAAGTTTCCGGGTGAAGATTTATGAGTTTTTTTTTTTAATCTTTTGTTTTTGATCAATCCTCGTTCAAACATTTCCCTGTGCAACCTGCCCTGTTGAATAAAATATGTAAACAATCAGGCTAATTGAAGGATATTGATCACTAACTTTAAACTCATGGAACTATTTTACCGGGTTTCAGTCATTTACTCCAGATAGGGTGTAGAATAGGGCTTGATGTTAGACCCTGTAGGATTTACCTCAAGGTATTTCAGGTAGTTTAGCAGTTGGATGTTGAACATGAACTACTATTTCCAGGTAGAGTGTAGAGTAGGGCTGGATAGTAGAACCTGAAGGATTATCTCCCAAGTACTCCAAAGTACTCCAGGTAGAGTGTAGAGTAGGGCTGAATAGTTTAGAACCTGAAGGATTATCTCCCAAGTACTCCAGGTAGGGTGTAGAGTAAGGCTGGATAGTATAAACTGAAGGATTATCTCCCAAGTACTCCTGGTAGGGTGTAGAGTAGGGCTGGATAGTATAAACTGAAGGATTATCTCCCAAGTACTCCAGGTAGAGTGTAGAGTAGGGCTGGATAGTTTAGACCCTGAAGGATTATCTCCCAAGTATAAACTGAAGGATTATCTCCCAAGTACTCCAGGTAGGGTGTAGAGTAGGGCTGGATAGTAGATTCTGAAGGATTGCCTGGGAATATGAATATTTAGAATCTACGGCTGTCCAACTAACCAATATAAACTACACAACAAGGCTACAAACTCGGCCCATCCATTCTAATCAACCGTTGCTTCTTCACATTTTTCTTATTACTCTTATCGCCACATTTACTCATTTTCCCTTTTATGAGATTAAAGTTAGAGTTGAAAATTACAATTTTATTCTGAAAACTGTAAACTGTAAAAAGTAAACTGTAAGTTGTAAAATGTAAAGAGTACACTGTAAACTGTAAACTGTAAAGAGTAAACTGTAAGTTGTAAACTGTAAACTGTAAACTGTAAACTGTAAACTGTAAACTGTAAACTGTAAACTGTAAACTGTAAACTGTAAACTGTAAACTAAACTGTAAACTGTAAACTGTAAACTGTAAACTGTAAACTGCAATGGTTGAAAACTCGTAGATAAGTTTTACATTTCTAGCCCGCATTAATTACCATTTATAATTTTCATAGAAGAATAATACTTTAGAGGATGCAGAAATTTCGGAATTTATTCTAAAGTATCTACATTTTAGTCCAATCCCAAACAAATATTCAAAAAAATACCACATTTTAATTTTTACAAACTCAACACATCTGTTTTTCTACCTCTATGCATTTCATAATGAAAACATTCATAACGACAATTTTATACTCAATGAGATACATTGGGGAAGGAAAACCCCCTGAACACCTTACAAAATTACTGATCGGGGGGGGGGGATGAGCTCCTATAACCCACCCTTGAGTAAACCTGGAAGTTAGGATTAAAACTTGGAATAACGGAAACAGTTCCTGAGCAGCTTTTCTAATATAAAAATAAACAAAAAACATCATATTTTTATGTATTTCAGGTGAAATCTTGAAACAAGATGAATCTTTTAACTGAAGGGTTTCTTCTCCTTCTTCTTCTTCCGGAGTCTCTTCTTAACTTTGGTAAAATAGTATTATTTATAGTGAATGAAATTCATTAGTTCATGTAGTTTGGTGTACAATAGTCTAGTGTACTCTAGTCTAGTGTACTCTAGTCTAGTGTACTTCAGTCTAGTGTACTCTAGTCTAGTGTACTCTAGTCTAGTGTACTCTAGTCTTGTGTATTCTAGTCTAGTGTACTCTAGTCTTGTGTACTATAGTCTAGTGTACTATAGTCCAGTGTACTCTAGTCTAGTGTACTCTAGTCTAGTGTACTCTATTCTAGTGTACTCTAGTCTAGTGTATTCTAGTCTAGTGTACTATAGTCTTGTGTACTCTAGTCTGGTTACTCTAGTCTAGTGTACTCTAGTCTAGTGTACTCTAGTCTAGTGTATTCTAGTCTAGTGTACTATAGTCTTGTGTACTCTAGTCTGGTGTACTCTTGTCTAGTGTACTATAGTCTTGTGTACTCTAGTCTGGTGTACTCTATTCTAGTGTAATAAAGTCTTGTGTACTCTAGTCTTGTGTACTATAGTGTAGTGTACTCTAGTCTGGTGTACTCTAGTCTAGTGTACTTTAGTCTTGTGTACTCTAGTCTGATGTACTCTAGTCTAGTGTACTATAGTCTAGTGTACTATAGTCTAGTGTACTATAGTCTAGTGTACTCTAGTCTTGTGTACTCTAGTCTTGTGTTCTCTAGTCTAGTGTACTCTAGTCTTGTGTACTCTAGTTTAGTGTACTCTAGTCTAGTGTACTATAGTCTTGTGTACTCTAGTCTAGTGTACTATAGTGTAGTGTACTATAGTCAGTGTACTCTAGTCTTGTGTACTATAGTGTAGTGTAATCTAGTCTAGTGTACTTTAGTCTTTTGTACTCTATTCAATTTCTACTGTCAATAGTTTATGAAAATGCATTTTAAAATATTTAATATGCATCAGATTTATGCAATTTTTTATATATGTAGTTAAACTGTTGAGTTTTCAAGATGGCTCCGTATAATTTATATGAGAACATTAGATATTCATGGAAAACCTGGCAAATTTTTAGAAAATAATGAGAAGAGGAAATTAATTTACATTACATTAAATCCCGTTGTTAAACACGGGATAAGAATAATAGGATCTACTGTACTGTATGTTATTCTTAATAAAACTTATGTCATGTCATGAAGGGTTAAAGAGTACAAATGTTTTATGGTATTTATGTATACAAGCCATAAAACTGATACAACCACTGCTTGTTGGCCTGGCTTTAATGCCTAGAAATTATTCAAATATTTACAGAAAAAAACTCTTAACTGATCAATGGTTAAAAATAGGGTTTCCAGCGATAAGGGAAAATCGTTTGACGAAAATTTCGCTGTTTTTGCATTTCGTTCGCCCGCGAAAAATGCGAAAATTTTTTCCTTTTTTCGCGAAATTTCGCTTTAATCTGTTTTGCGAAAAATTGCAAAATAAGGAATGCAAAAATTTCGCGAAATTATATATGCAAAAATTTTTGGGAAAACAAAATGCGAAATTTTGCGAAACAAATGCGAGAAAGATTTTTTGTGCAATTAATTGTTTCAGCTACAAAAACTTTTTCGAGGATTTTTTTTTCTCGCAAAATTTCCCATCATTTTCCCAAAATTTGGTAAAATGCGAACAAAAATATTCGGATTTTTCTTTTTTTCGGGAAAGTTTTCGTTCGCTGGAAACCTATAGTTAAAAATAAGATTCCAATTCGTATTGTTTGTATAAACTAGTACTTTACCTAGGCAAAACAGCCATCACAGAAAAGCAACATTGATTATTATAATTTTGTCCCAAAACTTCTTTTATTCACATTTTCAATCTTAGTTTTAGAAAATGTTCTGCTATCACAATTTAAAAGTAAATTGAAAGACAGCTAATGAAAAAGAAAGAAATGAATTTAATGCTTATTTGGTGTCTGAGAATGAAATAGGTGACTTTAATATTTCAAAACCCGAATTTTGAATGTAAGTTCATTAAGTTTGAGCAAAAAATGTACTTTCTGTGTTTGGCCTAAAGGGTTTATAAATGATTTTTTAAAAATTAATTGCACAATTATTTGTATCTGGAATAAAAATTTCTGATAGAAAAATACCTTTACTTTGTTTCTGAATTTAGCTAAGAAAATTAAGTTAGCTCTTTTGTTTCCTGAATGATTAAACAAAACATGAGCTTGGTAAATTTTTTCAAACATTCGCCGGGCTGAAGCAAAAAAAGAGAAGCGAGGAATGCCCTGAATTTGTAGTGATGTATAAAAGGTCCGCTAACCTTATAGAAGGAAGAAGAAAGATATCAGACCTCGATCCTAAGTGATGGTGAAAGGTTTAATGTTCCCAAACCTTTTTGCACTGACTATATGTAGAAAGTATCGGGTTGGATTTGGATTGTCGGGTTTCTTCTCTTCTCCGGGTCTACCAGGAGAACTGGGAGAGAAACCAATCCGTTTAATAGAGTCCTTTTCTTATAGATCCCAGACTAAAAGCAAAGAGTTTATCCAATTCTAACCCTTTCTATCCTTATCTACCAACATGATGATGATAATTCAACATCAAGATACGACTAATAAACCATTTAAACCAGATTTTTTATCCTAAAACCCAAATCAAACCATATCAATAATCATACCCAATCAAACCCGAGCATTCTTAATCCGACTCTATCCAACCTAATCCGACTTAATCTGAACCGATCCAACTAAATCCAACCCAATTTAATCCGATCAGACTGAATCTGGATTGACTCGAACTGGTCTGATCCAACCCTACAAACTGTAATTTATATTCCCCTCTCTCAGACAAGCTTTATTAAGCCGTAGAAATCAGAGACACCATATATAAGGGATATTTAACTCCCCCCTCCTCCCCCCTTTCCTTCCATTTATTCTAGTTTCTATTCTAATTCTATTTCTCTTCTAGTTAATATCCCAGAATACAAACATGTAAATGGATGAAATAAGGACAAATCCTTCATCCTAGTTCAGTCAAATATAACCGGTGTGGCGTTATTTCTGGGTAAACGTTAAATAATGTTAGTAGATTCTACGCAGCAAATTTTCCGCGGCATCCCCGCATATTTTTGCAGTTTACGGCAATACGCACAATAGAAATCTGATATTTTAACTGAAATTTCAAAATTATAAATTATATTTATACACTTAAAGTATACACTATATGCTGATATATAATGTGAGTACAGAAGTAATTAACTGTACATTAAACTCTCATTAGTTGCACGTATATCAGAATCTTAACAATTAACTTATGTAAACTAAAAAACTGTAATATCGATCCCTAATGTTAAAACAATTGATTTTTACTGTTTGTCGCTCAGAAAACTTGATTGATTCTCAAATATGAGAAATACTTTCACTTAATTTACTGTTTACATTCACAGAATTGTGCGCGAATGCCGCGGAAAATTTGCTGCGTAGAGTCTACTACCATTATTTATTTGCCACTTTATGAATGGAGATTCACTCGAAATTAAATCTACTACAGTCTCTATAATCAAAATTATTGGTACTTTCCCAAAGAGGTTTTCCCAAGAGGCAACTTTATAAGCCTGTCCTAGCCGTAGCACTCGGCTCTAGCCTGTTCTAGCCGCAGCACTAGGCCCCGTTGCCCGTCCTAACTCAGCACTCGGCTCTAGCCTGTTCTAGCCGCAGCACTAGGCTTTAGCCTGTTCTAGCCGTAGCACTAGGCCCCGTAGCCTGTCCTAACTCAGCACTTGACCCTCATTGCGGCCTGCGGCGCCTCAGGAGAACTTACCTAACCTTTGGGAAGTTTTCGCTTGGGAAATTGTCACAATTGGGAAGTCACCTTTGGAAAAATGCATCTGTGAAAATACCTACCTTCCCCTTTCTTCCCTTATATCATACTTATATTATATTTATCCAAATAGGTTTAGTTAATCCTGTCTTTTTGAATACAGGAACCTTTACTTCACATTGATATAATTAGGTTTAATGTTGATAGAAGATTATACTAGAATAATAATATCTTATACTTAGCTATTCATCCTGTTTCATTCTACCTAATGTATTTCCTTACAGTACATCATTCCTGCTCAAACATAACAGATTCGTCTTTCTATGGAGAAAATATGTCATCGGAAATATTATAAAACTCGTACTTTGTCTGTCTGTCACAAATTGTAAAACCCTTTTCTTCTAAATTTACAGGAACTATATTGAATGTAATTTCAAGTGACATTTTATGCAGTGACATTTCCCAATCACGACTGTATCCTTAAAATATATGGATAATCAAGGATGAATGAAATATCCATAGTTTTCGCCTTTGAGCTTCATCATTTTCTGTCGTGGTTTCTATTTTTTAAAGTTACTTGCGGATTTCTGTACGTTGCAGAAATGTTCATCTATATAAAGTTGTAATCTCCGTTTGTCTGTTTTCGTTTGTCCGATCATAACTCAGGAATAGCTGAACAGATTTGGCTCAAATTTTTATTGGGGAACTCAGGAGAACCACGGGAATGTTCTTAGTCTGGTTTTAAGATTCTGATTTGAGTGGATCGACTTTCAGTTTCCCGGTGAAATCGACCACATGCGGGTAAACGGCAAGATTAACTATGATTACCCTGGGCAGTGCCGGGTTCTCAAGCTAGTATGCATATAAAGTTGTATAGGGTACTGTTCTACGTAATTTAGGTACATGCCCTTCTTTAAACTGTTGTACGTAATTTAGGTACATGCCCGCTTCTTTAAACTGAATGTTACTTGACATAACAAGGACAGTCCCTTTTTAGTAATTTTTTTAAAAATATTTTTTTTGTCTAAAATTAGCCCAGACATCCTGGATTTATTTTAGGTGTCATCCTGTTCCCTGAGGTTTAATTATCTTCACAAACTGTTCCAAGTTTATTCCCGGGTTCAGATTAATTGTATTAACACTGTGCAGACTTTAATCAAAGAGTAAACAGATAGAACAGAAGAAACATGCTGTAGTTATTTGATTTCTTTTTATATTATAAAACTATTTTGTACACCAAATCTGATAAAATTATACAAATCCTTGTATTGGTGTTTTTTTGGGTATGCTGATAATGTGTTTAGATGCAAAAAAATTACATTACCATAGACAGCGATCACCCCCTCCGGCCTCTCTGTGTAATCTCTGACTTTAATCAACAACAGAGCGGAAAACTTTTAAATTATTGAAATATATTTTATCTTTCCCTTCTCCTTCTCTGTCCTATCCTTTCTTTTATCCCATCTCTTATTGACCAAAGTTTGGGAATTGGACTAACAAGATTTCAGGAATCTTCATTGTCGACCAAGAAAAGAAAGGCCATGAAAAATGGCATTTAATCCGATACGATAGAATTTTTGAAAATTTATTTGACTTAAAATCATAAAATTCAAATGTCAAGTGGAATAATTATGAAGCTTAACTTTACTTTTTTTAAATCCTTTAAAAATATTTTATTTCAGAAGGACACAGAGTGATGACACATGATGACTCAATCAAATATATTCCACTTGAAAAACTGTAAGTAAAATATGATTATTCTACCCCTGTAATTATTTAATATTATGCATATATTTATATAAATGTATATATAATATACAAATATATTCCACTTGAAAAACTGTAAGTAAAATATGATTATTCAACCCCCTCAAATTATTTAATATTATACATATATTTATATAAATGTATATATAATATACAAATATATTCCACTTGAAAAACTGTAAGTAAAATATGATTATTCTACCGCCTCAAATTATTTAATATTATAAATATATTTATATAAATGAATATATAATATACAAATATATTAAGCTTTTTGTAGAATAAAACCGCAATGTTGATGTTTGCAACTTTATTATTATATTTTAATCTATATTTCATATTTAAGCAGAACATAAATGTTAGTAAAACTACAATATAATATAAGAATACAGTTTTTGTAAAAACTAGATTTTTATCAGGGATTTGAAAGCATGATGTAAAGAGTGAATTTATTATGTATTTAAATAAAAAGAATTACCCAGCAAGAACGGGAGACGACGAAAGAAGTTTAAAATTGACTAAAATTGTCTAAAAGAAGTCTAAAATTGATAGGACGTCCTCAAGACCCACAATTAATCCTTCAGAGGTAGTCCTATTTAAACCGGAAAGATGAGGTTTAGGACGCTGTTCATGAACTGGGGTATCAGGTTACTAATGGCATTTGTGTCTGCAGGGTCCCATGTGTGTGGTCGTATTTTAGTCTGTGTGTCGCCACCTGTGTTTCTCCGGCAGCTGTTTTAAAGCTCTTCTCCATATCCCCCCCCCCTCTCTGCACATGTCTTTAGGACGTCCTGACTGGTGTTTCACAGTCGCGGTCAATTCAGGGCGTATACACACAGACCCCACCACAAAAAAAAATTCTCTGCAGTAGGAAGTCCTGAGGGTGTCCTCAAGTCAGTCCAAACTGGGTCTTCACAAGACACTGTCAAATTGGGGCGTACACAGGGTCCCCCCCAAAAAATTTTTTTAAAATCTTTGGAGGGGGCGGGGTGGCACTTGGAAATGGTCCACTCCAAAATAATATTTTTTATTAAGGAAACTTGTGTACGCCCTTACTTCACAGTGATGTCCTAAAGATTCTTCTTGAGGATGACCCAGGGGTTGCCTTAACTAAACAACAAAATATATGCAGATTATTAAAAATTTTCATTAATGAACAACTGGGATATTTGTTGACCTGCAAGGACAAACAGCTATTAAGGCATCCATTAGGTCAGATGGTTCTCTGTCACCAAGACCAGGCATTGAATGAACCATTTCTTCCTTTTCTAAATCTGTATAACTAAACTTTTTTAAGAGGCAGGATTTCAGGACTGTGTACTGATTCTCCTCTGGAACTTTTTCAAAGAAATCTTGTAGCTTGACTGCTAACTCACCAGGAAGAGCTGCTACAACATGTTGACCTGATGCAGGTTGGTTGATGCTACTGGATTTCCACTAGCATATATCTTTTCCTGTATTTTCTCATTTTTCTTCCAGGATTCCTAGTTCGGATTAAAGGAAAAAATATATCCTCTACAATATCATCATAAAACTGAGGATCATCTTGGCGTTGTCTTGGCAAGACCTTTAACAGATGTGGTTCAAATATGGGGGAACAGGCTAAAGTGGGGATGGGACATAACACATGTGAATGAAATATGATTAAGGGTCGTCTTGGCGTGTCTTGGCAAGACCATTAACAGAGGTATTAAAATATGGAGAGGAACAGGCTAACATGAGGATTAGAGGAAGAAGTCTTTTTTTGACTTGACACAAGACTACTTCAAGATGTGTGGGATAACAGAGAACATGCAAGGAAAAAGGAGACGGGGGGCAGGATAACTAAATATTTTAATGGTTATATCTCATATTACAAGATATTTGATGCAATTTGATTCTTTTTGGAAAATTGAGGATCTTGGGGAGTCTTCAGGACGTCCTAAATCTCGTTTAATACGCTCTCATTCTTGCTGGGTAAATGGATTAGAATTAAATTTTTAAAATAATTTCCGAGTACAAGAGCAAAATTTGAGTACTGCCCATTCATACATTGATGTTACATATCCATAAAATCCCTTTCCTTCTGTATAAACTTTAAATTTTAAACTTAAATTCTAAATAGAATTGGGTTCAGCTAAAGCTGGGATTTAAACTTGAAAAAGTGGAATATAACCAATTCAGAGATTTTCCTGTCAACTTTATTGTATACAAGTGGAAACCCTTTCATACAATATACAACATTGAACCTGAATACAATATACAGTTAACATTGAACATGAATACAATATACAGTTAACATTGAACCTGAATACAATATACAGTTAACATTGAACATAAATAAAATATGCAACATTTAACATGAATACAATATACAGTTAACATTGAACATAAATAAAAAATACAACATTGAACATGACTACAATATACAATTAATATTGAACATGAAAACAGTATAAACATAAACATCAATATAATATAATATACAACATTGAGTATGAATACAATATACAATTAAGACTCAACATAAATACAATATACAATTAACACTGATCATGAATACAATTTACAGTTAACTTTTATCATGAAATGTTAACTGTATATTGAATTCATGTTTAATGTTAACTGTGTTTTGTATTCAGGTTCAATGTTGTATAATGTATTAATGTTCAATGTTGTATATTGTATTCATGTTCAATGTTGTATAATGTATTCAGGTTCAATGTTGCATAATGTATTCATGTTCAAAGTTGTATAATGTATTAATGTTCAATGTTGTATATTGTACATCACAGTAATTCTGAAATACTAACGTAATTAAGAATAACCGATTAAATTGGTGAACGATTTCCTTATCAATGCTGCGCATTTCTACTGAAAAATTACACACTTTCGATCCTATGGTTTGGCAAATTCTTCTGATTTCTAGTAATCCTCACAGGATTATTTGCACACTAATTGCACTAATTGCACCAATTGCACTCATTCCAAACCGTACTTAATCTAAAGTAAGTCTGAATGCAAGTTTCTTGTAGGGAGAGATAACACTACGACAATAAAAATGGCGCAGCTGTTAATTTTGATATTTTTTGCTTATTTTATTCGACCTTTATTTTAGTTAATGATGGATCCAAGCAATATCAATCATACCAAGAATTATACTTTTATTTACATCAGAGTTTTAGTTTTAGGCAAAAAAAATGTCTATGCAATTATGGCTTGTAGTAAGCTAAATAATAATCGTCTATGTAAGGGACTGTATGGGACTGTATACGTAATCTTAAGTGACCATTTAAAGAGATATCTGATTTACAACGGTATCCTTGAAAACTTAATCTGATAAATAATGTGAAAGATAAAGTCGGATTTTATCTTGAAAGTGTTCAATTCTTCATTGTTTCTGGAGCCGCTGTAAATGCGCAAACACTTTTTTTAAATGAAAATAATTAGTTTTAAAAAACGTGGATATCTATTTCATGATTCATACTTGATCTGACAAAGCTTTGATACTCATTATACCCATTATATATTCATGAAAACCCTGGAATTCTATCGATATCGTCACCTTCAGTTTTGATTTATAAAACATAAAATTGTTGACTTTCACCACCATTTTTCTTTATTTATTATAAATATTAATATTTTTTTGGTTATTTATTGGACTATTATTATTCCCAAAACAGAAGTTTTCCCCAAGTTAGGACTTAACTAATACTTTTACTTTAAGCATTTCTATACAAAAACAGGGGATACTAAATTTTATCGTGATGAATACAATATTTTTAAGGAACTGTATTAAATCGTATGTTGAAGTGAAAAGATGGAAATGACCGTATTAACAACTGTACTCTTGAAACCTTTATCTCATCTGCAATAATGGGGAAGAGAACTTCGTTTTCTAAGTTTTAAAATGTTTATTTCTGATAATTCCTACATGGCTTCATACAGTTTAAATGCGCAAGTCAGAGAAACCACAATTGAAAAAAACGATACTTTTCCTTAGGATTTAAGTCTTTGCCACAGACTCAAATTTTGTAATCCCTAAATCTTTATAACCTGATAGTGTAAACCTTTAATATTTAAAACCTTAATCTAAAAAATTCAAAGTTTGAAATATCTAAGCTCTATAACGCCATTAAACTGCTAAATTATGGGAATTTAAAAATCAGAGTTTGTGGCAAAGACTCAATTTCTTATAAGCACATGAGTATCTAATTCATACTTGAACAGACAAAGCTTGAAAGGATACCGTTATGAATAGGGCGTTCCCATCTTTGCATGCATGTCACTTGAAATTTTACTTAAAGACCTTTTGAATAAGAGTCATGTTGTAATTAGTGTGCAGTCTCTTTTAAGTGATGTGTGTAAATTGCAAAGCTATATAGTTCAGTTTGGGATTAGAAACTGTTCTAACTGAGGAAGACAGAAGGATGTTCCAACTGTTTTATACAATACATATATAACAGCACATCAGTGTAATCTAAATAAGCGTAGAAATGACAGACAGATGTAGAAGATCAAATTTATGCATTATTGGAAAGACTTTGAGACCTCGTAGCACTTCTAGTTTTGATTTTACACACAAGTATGTGATATATCATATTTTTCTGTATTTATATATTTGTTGAACCCCTGACATGTCTCCTAGACCTGATATATCATCTCCTCCTATATCCTCCTGACAAGAACTAGGATAAGATGAAACTAATCTAATTATCCAGGACTGCTGAGAGTATACCGGAGTTTGTTCCTGCTCCCAAGAATATTACTGTACTCAGAGAAGGAACTGCATTCCTCGACTGTCCTATTAAAACCAGCGGAGATAGACCTGTCAGTTATCCATTGGTAAGTTTTAGAAATATTTTAGTTATTTAGAGATATAGTATATGGGTTATTTAGAGATACAGTAGGTTATTTAGAGATATAGTATATGGGTTATTTAGAGATACAGTAGGTTATTTATTTAGAGATACAGTAGGTTATTTAGAGATATAGTATATGGGTTATTTAGAGATACAGTAGGTTATTTAGAGATACAGTAGGTTATTTAGAGATACTGTAGGTTATATAGAGATACAGTAGGTTATATAGAGATACAGTAGGATATTTAGAGATACAGTAGGTTATATATAGATACAGTAAGTTATTTAGAGATATAGTATACCGGTTATTTAGAGATACAGTAGGTTATTTAGAGATACAGCTTAGATTTGTTGACATAAAAGTCAGCTAAATAAAAGAAATAACGGCTATCCGATAACTTTATTGAATTGTTTCAAATATAAAAGTTTTAAAATAGTTTTCTATAGAGGCATCTTAAAAAGGTTTGAAAATAAAAAAAGCACTATTGATTATTAAAGGTGATCATGATCATTGTAAACAGCTAAAGCTTCATCTTGCTATGGTATGCAGGTCAGCAGTATTTTGACAGCAGGTTCGCTCACATCTAGGCTTCAGTCTCGGGGGGAGATCGCAGTTTTATCATTGGCGCTGGGGTGAGGACTCTGTCAACTCTTAGGTTGCAGGATAAGCTTTGGGACATTGTTGGCTTAGATGGTAGCATTAGCTGCAAGGCTAGATATCTGTGGCTTCATGGAGGAGTCAGGTCGCTCTTCTGGGCCGGAGATCTTCGCGTTCCGACTAATCTATCCTAACTGTCTCTACGCTCCCCAACAGGCGGAGAAGGGGGGGGGGGAGGAGGAACGTTGACACATTGATCAACCGGAAAAAATATTTCTGTCTTGAGCATAATACAGGGCCGATTGTAGCACACAAGCTTCATGGGGGATCGTCTTTGTTAGAATTTGTTTTAACAAGATTATTTAGAGATATAAGCCAGGTATCTTTATCGAGCTGTAACTTGCTTTGACTCTGACTATGATTTGAGATCACAGCTACAAGGTTAGATTTCCGATCATAGTCAAAGCTCATTCATAAGTCAAAATTTTGAGGTTGGATATAGTATGATTTCAGATCTAGTCAAAGTTCAAATAATTTGTTTTATGAATCCAATCCAAGCTGCTCTGACTATGATTTGATGACAGCTGGCCTTCCTGACAGCAAAAAATAAAATTTAGTGGGGCATTCATATTTTCTGGAGCCCTTTAAAAGTCGTCTTTGATTTTTGGCCTTAAAATTGTAAAATGATTGATAAATTAGATAGATGGATAGACTAATAAAAACATAGATAGATAGATAGAGATAAAAGATGAAGAAAAAAAAGAGAATAACAGAAATAATCTATAAAAGGAAATATCTGATAAAAAGGTTTATTTTTGTTTTAAAAAAATCTTTTTTTAGTATTCAAAATAAAAATAAATATTCTTAAGAAAATTTAGATTTTTTATTTTAGAAAATATTTTTTAAACTTATTAGTTAAAAAATTAAAAAATATCTATTTTGAAAAAAACACTATTTTTAGGTTTTTTTCAAAAATGTTTAGAAATATTTTCATTTTTCTGAACTATGCATCTTGGCATATTATTTCTGGTCTCTATTTTCATGTTTTGCCATTTAGTAGTTTTAATGTACCCAAAATCATGGTGAATGCCTAAAAATGGCGAATAGTTTGTTCCCATTTGCTGTGATTTAGCTGTGAAGTCGAAGCTAAATCCAATCTCAGGTGTGATTTCCATCAGCTGATGTTTAGCTATGATTTGGCTCCGACTTCAGATCAAACCTAAGCTTCGATCTTGCTCTGATTTTGGACTAACGAATACAAAATCATAGCTAAGCTAGGAAAAGTCGCAGTTAAATCATAGCTTGAACCTCACAAAGAAACCGGGCAATAATATATAGGTTCTAGAGTTCAGACTTATTGGATCCCAGCCCACATTTTCTATCATTTGAAAATTTTAAATAAATAAAATTTTAAGTAAAGGTTGTGTATAGGCTCTTTCCGTTAAAAAGGTATTAAAGGGTAAACCTTTGATATTGTAAATTAAATTATTTGATTTAAACAGAATTCATAGTTTGTGGCAAAAACTTCTTAAAACACAAACACAGTATTTTTATTTTATTTTTGCAGTGTATAACACCCTGTCGGAGGGCAAAGGGGGGAGGGTAAAATATATCAAGGAACTTGGGAGGGGGAGGGGGGGGGGCAATTTGGGGAATATTGTTAATTTGGAATTATTAATCTATGTCGTGTGCCTGACATATTTTACAAGTAAAGTTCGCCGTGCTAAATTAGCTGAACATTTGTTTAATGTTGTTTAATGGTTGCAACATTTAAAAAGAAAAAACGAAAGAAATATACGTACGCCATAGTTCGAACTATTTTCGTTAGATTTTCCTGACTTTGTTACTGTCTATAGACAAGGCGTTGTTTAATAAAACCATTAAAAACCATTAAAAAACATTAGCTAGTCATCTTGTTATAAATATATGTATGTTATGATAGACAGTTATAACCAGAAATATGAACCCGACTATTAGAATCAAGTTATAACTTTAAAAAGTCCAATAAGCCTGAGATACATCAATTGTGCAGAGTAAGCAGACTCATTTCAGACCAACCAGGCCCAATTATTTTGTGGCAATTAAAACCAAACATCTCTGGTTTTCAGAATAAGAAAAACTTTGATTGAGAAAAAAAAATTCACCTAAGAAATACAGAAATCTGCGAAAAGTTTTCATCTGATGATGCAGAAAGATAAAATGGTGCATTGAAAGTAATATTGAAAAGCTGAAATTATCATTGAGAAAAAGGCACGAAGCGTCCTAAATACCTAGTTTTTAAAAAATCGGAGTCAGCTTAAAAAAAATCAATCTAAACGTTCAAAATGTATATAGATGGATACAGAAAATGTTATATCAAAATATGAATAAATTTAAATAAGATTTAGTTATGCAAATTTATTAATCTATTATATTAATGTTCTAGTTCCCCATTCCTCTTTCTAATATTCACATTTTCAATACAAAATTTTATTATTTTACAAATTTTATTCAATTTGCTCTATTGAAATTTCTAACCAACTGTTTCGTTTAATAAGATATAACAAAATAACATGTTTTTTGGGGGGTGGGGAGGCCTGCTCAAACTTTGAGAATTCGTAGCTTTTGTAACGCACTTGTAAAGTCTCTCTAAAAAGTAAGCAATTCTAAAAACTCTAATTCCTTTATTACTAAAAACATTCCTACACTTAAAACATCATTTATTTCTAAGATATGTCTAAGATATTTCTAAGTGTAAAAAAACAAAAGTAATAAAGAAAAAACTCATTTAAAGTATAAAGTATTTGAGTTTGTTGATTGTATTATTATCATAGAAATTACAATCTGTCATGCAATCAGGGTACAAGGAGAGTATTTTTTATGCGCAACAACAAATATATATTAGAAAACAACAACAAATATATATTGGAAAACAACAACAAATATATATTGGAAAACAACAACAAATATATATTGGAAAACAACAACAAATATATATTGGAAAACAACAGCAAATATATATTGGAAAACACAACAACTATATATTGGAAAACAACAACAAATATATATTGGAAAACACGACAAATATATGTTAGAAAATAACAACAAATATATATTTGAAAATAACAACAAATATATATTGGAAAATAACAACAAATATATATTGGAATATAACAACAAATATATATTGGAAAAAAAGTTTAAGTGTAAAAATCTTATTTTCAAAAGGTTGACTCGGCTATACTTGAAATATCTGGTGGAAGATTGAAAAATGAGAAAATTGTAAATATTATAAAATGAAATAAAACTCTAAAGATTGCAATGGAGGAGAAGAAATGTACATTTATTTTCTTTTCTCAGGTTTATCAAGTTTAAAAGGTTTAAAAGGTTCGAATAATTCTACTCTCTCAACTGCAGAGTGTCCCAAAAAAATACAGAGACGTGTTCATACGTCTTAAATTTTTATGTTCACAATTATTATTGTTTCTTTTTTATTATAGTAATCTAATTTAAAAACAAAACAAAAAACAAGATTTTGAGTCCCTGCCAAAAAATCGAATTTTTTAATCCCTATATCTTTGCAACCAAATGGTGTAAGCCTTTTATATTTCGTTTCTGATATTTGATCGATACTGAATTCATAATTTAAGATAAGTAAGGTCTACGAAATTGGGTTGAAAAGATAGAGGAACTATAAAATCATAGTTTGTGGCAAAGACTCAACTACTTTTAAATTTTTTTTGCCAAAACTTTGAATTTTTTAAGTTCAGTTCAATGAAGTTTATTCCGTTCAAAAGTTTTAGAAAGTTTATTGCAGCATTTCAATCGTAATCTTAGAGTTTAAGCGGTAATCATTTTTTTACTGTCAAAAATAATTCTTCCTCATGAACTGTATTAAACGAAAACATGAGAACTAAAATATACGAAATAATTAAACCAAAAATACGATAAAATATCGCCATAAATTAAATAACGTTGTGAATCTGCTAAACGCTGATTTGCGCACTCAAATTTAGAAACATTAACTAATATGCAACCAAATAATTGAAGTCTATTCTTATTGAGGCAAAGGAAATGAGTCTTTGCCTCAAACTCGAATTTTCTAATCCCTTTATCTTTTAAATCTGATAATGTAAACCTTTGATATTTCAAACTTAGATTATCTGATATTACAGAAATTATAGTTTGAAATATCTGAGGTATTCGACAATGGGTTGCAAAGATATTGGGATTACAAAATCAGAGTTTGTGACAAAGACTCAATTTCTTTAAGCAAAGAGTAATTGGCTAGATGAGAAACTCATAGTTTGACTTCAGGGACTTAAAGAAAAAGACCAAAAACAAAGGCACAAATCAACTTAAATTAAACTTAAAAGTTAAAGAAATGCAAAATTGAAGAGATTACGTGAGCTCGAATTTGAGGTACATATAGACTAGAATAGAAATTGTCAAAAATAAGATTTTCGTATTCCAATAGATAGATATGAACTGTTTGACGTTTAATTTTACCGATTTCCAAATTGTTTTTATTTCAAAGTTTAAATGCATGTCGAGATAGAAGGGGTTGAATCTAGGGCTTGCATACATAAAACATCACACGCAAGAATAAAATAGAAAACCTGCATTTTCAAAACATCGATATTCGAAACCGGAAAGGGATTTTTGTTTTTGCCGCAAACTCTTTTTCTTTACAAACAAATGTGTTAAACCTGAGATATTTCAAACTATGAATTCTGTTCGGTAAAAAAACTAAGTTTGAAATATGAAAGATTTATACTATCAGTTGCAAAGATATCGGGAGAAGAAAAATTTAGACTCAATTCCAATAATTGCAATTTGAAGTGCACTTTAATACTTAGGTCCAATGATTGTAATCTGCAGTCCACATCAATACTTAGATCCGATAGCAGGGGGCGGAAACGTCATGTATGCGTGTCTGTACCAAGGAGTGTGTGTAAGTAATAACAAACCGAAGGCGTGTACTGTAGGTATAGACACTTACATGAATCTTGGTATTTGTACAGTCTTGGAGAGTACATTTGTTTATTGTTAATTGTTTAGTTAAAAATAAGTTTCATATATATGTAATATATTATTTACATATTTAAGTCAACACTATAAGCCAAATTTTCATGCAAAGAATATTATTTGATTGAAGTTTACAATAAACTACTCGTTATTCAAGTTTAATTATAATTGACGACATTGTTCTTCAATTTCCTTGACTGTAGTCATGTTGCGTGTCTGTACCAAAAGAGTGTGCGTTTGTAATAACGAGTTCGTCTGCAAAGCAGTGCGACTGGCTTTCTCATGCCAGACCAGCGCCATTTCCCTTCCCTTTTATTTTTATTCCCTGTCCAACAGTTGAAGTATACAGTACACATTGATACTTAATTCTTGTACTATCCTGTACACATCAATACTTAGATCTTATAATGTAATTTGCAGTAACATTAATACTTATATCTGATATTGTACTATACAGTACACATCAATACCTAGATCTTTATATTGTACTATCCTGTACAGTACACATTAATACTTAGATCTGATATTGTACTATACAGTACACATCAATACCTAGATCTTTATATTGTACTATCCAGTACAGTATCACATCAATACTTAGATCTGATATTGTACTATCCTGTACAGTACACATCAATATCTAGATCTGATATTGTACTATCCTGTACAGTACACATCAATACCTAGATCTGATATTGTACTATCCTGTACAGTACACATTAATACTTAGATCTGATATTGTACTATACAGTACACATCAATACCTAGATCTTTATATTGTACTATCCTGTACAGTACACATCAATACCTAGATCTTTATATTGTACTATCCTGTACAGTACACATTAATACTTAGATCTGATATTGTACTATGCAGTACACATTGATACTTAGATCTCATATTGTACTATGCAGTACACATCAATACTTAGGTCTGATATTGTAGTATGCAGTACACATTGATAAAAAAGGAAACCCTAATTGTCATTCAATAACATAAATGTGTTTCTCATAAACAAATGTGAATGTTTTTGTTTGAAAAAAAAAACGATAAAAAAATATAAATTGATAATAATCAACCCGCAATATAAACACAAATCCAATATATGTATAGTTTTATCAATATATATTTATATTTGTGATATTCATCAGTTTATTTACGCAATCAACTAACCCTCCATAGTGTAATAAAACAATTCTATTTTAAACAATGAATACCGGTAATTTTACTTTTACCTCCTCTTCCATGCAATAAACTTCCTGCATCTGGTTTAACTCTGTTCCATTTCCTTGTCCTGATTTAACTCTTTCTGATTTAACCCCTTTAATACAACCCCTCCTCTTGATAAAACCCCCTGTTACAAACCCCCCATTTCAAAAATGTAGAAGCGTTCTTTTTCTGACTTGAACAGTGTTTAATTCTAAAAATTTCTCCATTGTTTTTAAGCACGAAATATAATTTGCCAAGGTTTAATTCTAAACAGGTTTATAACCACACAACCATCCTGATGCATTACAAACTTAGAGAAACCATCCTGATGCATTACAAACTAGAGAAACCATCCTGATGCATTACAAACTAGACAAACCATCCTGATACATTACAAAATAGATAAACCATCCTGATGCATTACAAACTAGAGAAAATTTCCTGATGCATTACAAACTAGAGAAAATTTCCTGATACATTACAAACCAGAGAAACCATCCTGATGCATTACAAACTAGAGTAACCATCATGATGCATTACAAACTAGAGAAACAGTCCTGATGCATTGCATTACAAACTAGAGAAACAGTCCTGAAGCATTACAAACTAGAGGAACTATCCTGATGCGTTACAAACTAGAGAAACCATCCTGATGCATTACAAACTAGAGAAACCATCCTAATGCATTACAAACTAGAGAAACCATCCTGATGCATTACACAATAGAGAAACAGTACTGATGCATTACAAAAATAGAGAAACCATCCTGATGCATTACAAACTAGAGAAACAGTCCTGATGCATTACAAACTAGAGAAACCATCCTGATACATTTCAAACTAGAGAAACAGTCCTGATGCATTACACAATAGAGAAACAGTACTGATGCATTACAAAACTAGAGAAACAGTAATATAATTACATCTACTAATGCATATAAATGAACACAATTAGAAACTTTGATAATAAACTAATTAAAATTAGTACATTGAACTTAACTTTATATTAAGTACACTCATCCCTTTAGTTTAGTTTAAAGTCGCCAGTGAAACTTTAGAATAGTATTTTAACTTAATTTATCAGATTATCAGAGTAAATATGAAATGGTAGCATATATGAAGCTGATCGTTTATCAGGCTTTAAGCTCACGATAAACAACGGTTAATTTGAATTTGAACCGGAACGGCCCCTTGTACCGGACATAGTGACGCGGGGTCCGACCCTATCCTATATGCCGACTTGGTTTCAACTTTGATGGCGCGGCCGCACTTTCTACAGTATCCGAACTACCCAACTAGCTTAGTTTAGTGTGTTAAAGGGAACTAGGAATTGTTATGGAACACTATAACTGAAGGATCACTGGAAAATGTGTGAACCAGGGAGTCTGATGTACAATTACCGCGTATACAATAACCTATTCTAAATATTTCTTATACAAATGGAGTACCCGTCTGCAAAGCATGCATAATCATATGGTAGGGCAAACCGCGTCAGTTGTATCTCCCTTGTATTCCATACTCCTTGGTGTGAACAATCCATTTAACACTTTATATTGACCAGAAGAGGGCATTGCCATTTTTTCTTAAATTTTTTGTTTTTGTTTAGATATCCTGGGTTCGGAGGAGAGATTGGCATATTCTCACCAATGGTCTTCTTACATTTACAACAGACAGTAGGTTCAAGGTTCTATACAAGGAGGGATCATTCAACTGGGTTCTCCAGGTACACACAGATATACTAATAGATTTGATAGATTTACAGGGATAACCAGAAAACAATAGTTAAGTGTTTTTGATGTTGTTACTAAGCAAATTCCTTTACTAGACACTTATTATATCACTAATTTAGTTAAATAGGTTTGTTTACACTGCGCAATTGCAGTGTTTCATGCTCAATAGAATTTTCAAAGTTATAACTTGATTCTACAAATCGTCTTCGTATTTCTAAGTTTTATGGTTATCACTGTATTTAATTAAATACGAGTCTATGTAATAGCAATTGAACTTAACTTTGTATAAATAATATTTCAATGGATGCATATATCAATATGACACTTTCAGATCCTATATAAGCATTTACCAGAAGTTAAACCTATAAGATCCATGCATGTACATTACAATATATGTATCAATGTTACACCGTTAAATCTATGCGTAAATATATGTCTATGTATATGTATATACATTTAACTTTTAACATATCACATGTAGTAAAAGCAAAATATTCTGCATGCAAGTTCTATGTCTGTAAAGGAATTGAGTCTTTGCAACAAACTCGAACTTTCTAATCCCTTTATCTGTTCAACCTGATGACGAAAACCTTAGACATTTCAAACTTGAATTATTTGATCTAACAGAATTTATAGTTTGAAATATATAAGGTCTACGGCATTGAATGGCAGAGATATTAGTATTAGAACATCAGAGTTTGTGGCAAAACCTCAATTCCTTTTGAAATCAATTCTAATTAGTTTATTATGATTTTTTCTATTCAGTTTTTTCTATTCAGCCTTTAACCCTATTCCGTCAGGGGGGTGCCTGGGACCCCCCCTGACGTTTTTTTTTATTTATCATATTTACACACCTTTTCTGCTGTCACATTTTTTGCTAATAACTTGAAATTGCAAAAAATATTTGGAATTTTGCAAATTTGCAAATTATTTTGCAGATTATTAAAGAAGAGCCCAAGGGCTTTTCAAAAGTGTATCAGATGTTTTAGATTTGTATCACAATAAGGAAATAGAGAAGACTATTTTGGGTAAACCAGACTTCAGCCTGAATAGGGTTAACAGGAATCCTAGGTTGAGGAATAAGGATGGATATATCTCCAGGCACAAAGAGAAGAAGGGTTCAAGAAGAAAAGTTTTGAAAGAAATGAAAACTAAAAGAAAAGCTTCAAGTTCTGTCAAGATTTATGAACTGTACTCGGAACAAAATTAGTTCTCCAACACTCCTTTTATGAGTATTGAAGATCATTTGTCCTCAATTGGCATACGGATCCAGATCCATTGGTTTCCAGTCTTATCTCAAGGTTTCCTATTTCAGTTCTCCTGGTTTTCTAATTCAATTTTCTTCAGGTTTCCGAATCGAGTTCTCTTGGTTTCCTAATTCAATTCTTCAGGTTTCCTAATCCAGTTCTCCTGGTTTCCTAATCCAGTTTTATATGGTTCCCAATCCAGTTATGCAGGTTTCCTAATCCAGTTATCCAGGTTTCCTAATCCAGTTTTCCAGGTTTCTTAATCCAGAAATCCTGGTTTCCTAATCCAGTTCTCCAGGTTTCCTACTCCAGTTATCCAGGTTTCCTAATCCAGTTCTCCTGGTTTCCTAATCAAGTTATCCAGGTTTCCTAATCCAGTTATCCTGGTTTCCTAATCCAGTTATACTGGTTTCCTTAAGCAGTTATCCTGGTTTCCTAATCCAGTTCTCCAGGTTTCCTACTCCATTTATCCAGGTTTCCTAATCCAGTTCACCTGGTTTCCTAATCCAGCTTTCCAGGTTTCCTACTCCAGTTATCAAGGTTTCCCAATCCAGTTCTCCTGGTTTCCTAATCCAGTTATCCAGGTTTCCTAATCCAGTTCTCCTGGTTTCCTAATCCAGTTATCCTGGTTTCCTTATCCAGTTATCCTGGTTTCCTTATCCAGTTATCCAGGTTTCCTAATCCAGTTTTCCAGGTTTCCTAATGCCGTTATCCTGGTTTCCTAATCCAGTTCTCCAGGTTTCATACTCCAGTTATCCAGGATTCCTAATTCAGTTCACCTGGTTTCCTAATCCAGTTTTCCAGGTTTCCTACTCCAGTTATCCCGGTTTCCTAATCCAGTTCTCCTGGTTTCCTAATCCAGTTATCCAGGTTTCCTAATCCAGTCATCCTGGTCTCCTAATCCAGTTATCCTGGTTTCCTTATCCAGTTATCCTGGTCTCCTTATCCAGTTATCCTGGTTTCCTAATCTAGTCATCCTGGTCTCCTAATCCAGTTCTCCAGGTTTCTTAATCTAGGTGTCCTTATCCAGTTCTCCAGAATTACTAACCCAGTTATCCAGGTTTCCTAACCAGTTATCCAGTTTTCCTAATCCAGTTATCCAGGTTTTCTAATCCAGTTATCCAGGTTTCCTAATCCAGTTATCCAGGTTTTCTACAGTATGCTAAACTTCTCACTATTTCAACTTTAATGGTTCTAGAATCTCTTTTAAATACAGATATATGTACTAGACATATACTTTACTAGAATACAGATATATGTACTAGACATATACTTTACTAGAATACAGATATATGTACTAGACATATACTTTACTAGAATTCTCACAGTTCCAAGTGTCAAGATTTTTTTTCAAATATCGGTTGTTGAATGTTTTCTTATATAGTCTGATTCCCATGAAGATTACTATTGACATTTTTAATCCACTTAAAGTTATTTTTTTTGTCGTTAGTTTGCTTTTTTCATTTTAGTTTAAATGCTTTATTTATCTTTAGATAGTTTTCAAAAATTTTAAATTGGTTTTATTTTATTAATAATAAAGCTTGCAATGTGTAAACAAGAAGTGTACCAGGAAGTGCATTGGATGTGTTTACATTTTGCCTGTAGATGTAAACAAAACGTTGTCCATTATTTAATTAGAAAAATTACTTCAGTTCGTTTAGAAATCTTTTTGCTCTGACATTTCATAACTTTAATTTGTGTAAACGTTTTCAACAAAGAAGTTTTTAATACAGTGGTCAGTCTATATACCGATATAATACAGTGGTCAGTCTATTTATAACTCAAAAGAAAAGTTTGTGCTTTCCGAGGTTACCAGCACCGATTTCAACCTTTTAACGAATCCGGTTTTTCCAAATTGACCTAAGGTTCTCGTGGTTTAACCTCCAGTTTTGAATCCTTCCTGGTTCTCTGGTTTAACCTCCAGTTTTAAATCCTTCCTGGTTTAAACTCCAGTTTTAAATCCTCCCTGGTTTAACCTCCAGTTTTAAATCCTCCATGGTTCAAACTCCGGTATTAAATCCTCCCTGTTTCCCTGAATGATGGTAAAGGAGCCCTGATAGAAGTATAATGATTGATTACTATTCCTAAGATTATACTCAGCAAACTCTACACAATTTATACATTCAAATATAGAAAGGTTTAAAGGGTTTGTTCTCGAAAACTGTCAGGAGCGGAGCAGGAAATTATCTTAGTGAAGCTGAAATCCCAAAAAACTACGGTCGATACCTGATTTCTGCCTGTTATGTTTTTTAATGAACATTGTTGTGAGGTCCGTTTTTAAACTATCAAAGTTTTCATAATTATAAGAGGCTACTCAGGAATCTAAAATGTTGAGTCTTTTTTAGAATCTTATGCTTGATAAGTTTGCTTTTATTACATTATGCTAAATTTTTACACAGATATTAACCAAAACTATTTTTAAAACGATTAGTAAAATCGTTTTGTTCAATATATTTCATCAGAGAAAAAATGTTGTAAAAGCTAATAAAAGCAAATTTATCAAACATGAGATTCTAAAACAGGATATGAACACATCAAAATACCTGAAATGTTTAAAACGGACCTAACACCGATGCCAATTCCAGTTATGCAACTGGAATTGGCACTGTATAACTGTAAATCTGAAATTTCCTTTTTTCAAAAACTGTGATCTTACACTTTGAACCTGTTATATTTGTGTTTTCTGCTTTAGGATTTATATTCTTTAGGTATAAAATATATAGAGTTGTAAATTGAATGCATTTTTGGCTAAAACATTTAGAAGTTGGATATATATTTTAGATTATTGACATATGTATTTTTTTACACAAACATATAATGAACATCGACATATATCTTTATATTATAAAGCTCATAGCTCATGTATACATAGATGTTAGCAATAGCTGGTCAAACGGCTGAATCAAATTTGTTAGTAGTAACCCCATGGGTTTCCTGGGGTAACAAAGGCCTTTCTTTAAAATTCGATTTTTTTCAAATGTTTTTTTTAAATTCCACGGGCAACGACGGACACTTCACTTAGTCATATTTATTTCATAAACATAACATGAATATTGCATATTACATACATTAATATGCATATAGGTTCTATTGTAGGAATGATAATGTGATAAGTTCAAGTTAAATGTATAATATATATACAAAATATGGATGATATATATAAAATTTTTATTAATTTTGTCGAACTTTAGCGAAAACAGGATTAAATTCAAATCCGTGACTCATATCATTACAAAAATAATGTAGGGTTTTAGACATTTTTGTATTAGGTGATTTTGATATTGAAACATATTAATTTAAACATAAATGTACGAATTATAATCAATATATGTACACATATTAAGTTGGGAAACCCAGCTTTTTCTAGTAATTAATCTTTCTCTATAAAAGTCAACCCACTCAACTTGGATCATTTCTGCGGGTTTACCGAGTTCCTAATAAAAAAATGAGGCAAATCGGTCCAGGTCCAACACATAAACTAACAGAGAATAATACTTTATATATATAGAAAATTTATATAATTTAAATTAAAATTAAAAACTTCAAGTTTAATAATGTTTAGATAAAGTGGGTTCAGGAGAGAGATGCTGGTCAGTATGAGTGCCAGGAAAACCACTCATTCATTTTTTTATTTAATTTCAAATTCACGATTTATTCAATTATTTCCCTTTCGAAAAGTGTATTTCATCTTTTCGTGTTGAAGTTTTGAAGTTAACGTGAACCACAATTTAAAAACTTAACGGAAGTCACGACGTAATTTTAAGAGACCATTCATTTGAGGGTTCTGATTCTCGGTTCATAAAAAAGATTCTTTAAAAATTTTGATTCCATTTTTCAAATTATCGTAAAATACAGTTTTAAAATTTAAAGTGGGTTGCAGCGTAATTTAAAATAACTTTTTATTCAAAAAGTCCGATTCACGGATTTATTATTTTTTTTTCTTAATTATCTAATTTTTTAATTATCGCAAATTACAATTCTTTAACATTTTATTTAGAGGGTTTGATTCACGAATCACGACGGCAACCCTCAAATCGTGTTGTCTCAGTAAACAATTGCAATCTGAAAACTAGAATCATTCAAATTTAAACTTTTGCTACAGACACAAGAAAGGAAAATGACAGAATTTATCCTTTTCTTCTAAAGGAAAACGACAATATCTGCCTCATTGTGAATGGAACATATAACTCGGCTGTTTGGGTCAAATAAAAAAGTCCCTTAAAAAAAAATTCGAGCTTGTCGCAATTTTCTTAGTGATGAGTAAAATTAACCTCTGTAGCTGACCTCGTACTTTTTATTGAACTTTCTAATCATAGAAATGATTAATCACCCTTTATATTCCACAGCTATGATATATTTTCACTAAATTCCAGGACTATGTCACGTGTTGAAATTATTTTAGATTTATTGCTTTAAAATGGACAAAATATTAAAATTACTAAGTGTCCTACCAATATGAACACTGGAAATATTACGTAAAGAAATGTTAAAGGGAGAGACCGGCAAGGTAACGTAATTGAACCGAGAGTGCAGTATTCACTCCAAACGAAGATGTGCACGCTCTCACGCAAAAATCAAACAGTATTTTGTCAATTACTCCTTTTAAACTTAGGCTGGAAACAATCACGTATAAGCAAGCTGTTGAAGAAAAATCAAAGGCCAAGGCGTTGCAATACTTTAAAGTCGATACTGTCTAAAAATTTGGTGACTCTCTTTCAGAGTTATCTAGATCTCAGTGCATATTAATATTATAGAGAAAAACTTTAGGATTTGATACTGACAACACGTTTTTACGGTTTATAAATTCTAAGCGAGAGCGTAAATTAGTTTGTAAAATTTAATTGGAAGGAAATGGACCGAGGAAGAAACTTTCAAAAATACCTAGCATTTTAAAGTTAAAGTTACAAGTTAGAATGAAGAGGGTAAAGTTGTCCCAAACCAGGATATAAGGACGCATTCATGAATAGATAAAAGAAAAGGATGAATGATGAATGAATGAATGAATCAGGTCTCTACTCCTACTGGAACAATATCCCGTGAGGTTCAGCTCCACGTGGTTCGAACTGAAGCATTTATCCAGGGAGGAGAAGAATATCATGTTGATCTTGGTTCAACTATATCCCTCACTTGTATCATAGGTAAACACTTTTTTCAAGCAATCGTTATCATTTTGCTGATTTTCTTACGGCAATTTAAAAAACTGTTGTCAAGAAAACGGGCCGTTAGAGATCCCTTTAAAGTTTGAGCCGAATGGATTCAGCTGTTTTGACAGAAACCACTCACCACTAAACCCCACTTTTTCTTCGGTCAGAGTCTAAACAAGTAATAAAAACATAGAAAAAAACATTTACTAAATAAGATTATGAAAATTATGAAACAAATCGGATTTGTGTGTTTTATGTTTCATGTTTATAAAAACTTGCTGTAAAACTTTGAAATACCTTTTTTTGTCATAATAAAATTATATTCAAGGTCTATTTACCGATATAATACAGTGGTCAGTCTATTTACCGATATAATACAGTGGTTAGTTTATTTACCGATATAATACAGTGGTTAGTCTATTTACCGATTTAAAACAGATGACATTACAGTGCAGCTTTGCTTCCATCCAGCTTGCATGTAAACAAAGGGAAGATCTGAGTTTTACGGGCAATGGGGCAAAAAATCTTTGCCATAAAAATAATGTGTTTTTTTTATAACTTATAAATGATTGGCTTTATATGTACTGAAAAATTTAAAAGTAACTGTTTATTTTCTTAAATAAATTGTGTGGGGTCAGAGATATAACCTGAATTTAAGCATGATCGATTTGAAGTACACATGCAGTACACCTAATTAAAGTGCGCACTGTATATTTTATCCGGCTGTGTCATATCAGGGTTAAATCTCCCAAAGAATATTTCCCTTTTGATTCAAAGCTTCCCTTTGTTTACAAACAAGCTGGAAAGTAAGCAAAGCTTCACTAAAATGTCTATATTATATTGGTATATAGACTTACCACTGTAGGTTAAAGTTATAAATATTATTGGGACGTGACTGAAATTAACTTTTCAAATCTAACGAAGCTGATTTCTTCAAGCAATTATATGACTTAAGGGACTTTTTAAGCGATCCATCATGTATAGAATATACCCTTGAAACCATAATCTGATCAATAAAGTGTAGGATAACGTCGTTTTTATACCTTAAAAAATGTTTGATTTTTATCATATTCTTCTCGTTTTCAGAAGCGCTAAATGCACATATCACCTTGAAGAGATACCCCAAATGAAAACTATTAGTTCCCAAAAACCGAAATATGAAATTCTAATTCATAATTGATCAGACAAAGTTTTTAAGGGTATCGTTGTGAATCGGTCCTTCCACTCTTTCATCGGAGGGTCACTTGAAATAGCGTTTTCAGGCCTTTTAAATTAAAGTTATCATTAATTATGATAAATTATAAACTTAAAAAATGAATTTATCTATTTTTATTTGTTATTCTACAATTATTGTTTTGTTGTAGATACATGCAAAGATGCATATTATGCATATATACAAGTACTAACATTCAATAAAATACAATATACATTAAACATAAAACATATATATATATATACTAGCTGCAAATAAAAAATATTATGAAATACCAACTATATACGAATGCTTCAAAACAAATCGATGATTAAAAATTGTAATATCTAAATGATTTGTTTTGAATTAAATTGATCTTTTTACGATTCGAGTCGAATATTGCAACTTTCTGAATTTGTATGGACGCTACGTTCTTTGGTATATATATATGCATCGTGTTTAACCATTTTCTCCTTATAGACACGACAGATGGAAGTAAGATCACCATCGAATATTTTTTGACGTAAGCCTATACCCACTTTAATTGTTCGCAAACACTCCCCTTAAACAAGTATTTATTTAAGAATGTTTGATCTGAACGGGGATGGAGATGTCGACTCCGACGAGTTCTCCCAGGTATAACTGTTAAGATTTAGAACGTATAGGCAAAACTAACTTTATTTGTAATTTTAACTAATCCTCCAATAAAAAAGCGGCATGCCTGATTAACAACGGTAATCTTGAAACCTCTATAGCTGGTCAATAATATGGAAGATAAATTCGATTTTCAGATTTAAAAAATGTTTAATTCTGATAACTACTCCATTGTTTCTGATGCAAGAAATGTAAACAAAAACATGATTATNGGGGTGAGGGGCAAGGTTGTATTAAACCTGGGGGAATGCACAGGGTATCTCGCTGAAAAGGGCTATTTAAGGAAAAAGTTTGTATCAACAAAGATTGTCCGAATTAAAACTTGTAAGGGGAACCCGGAACATGCACCACAATATATACCATTTATTGTTCAACTTTTTGTTTACAAATTTTGTTAATAGAGAGCTATCGAAGATCAAAGACGTTCTTACGGTCGTCTCTTAGCTCTCATTTTTTGGTGGGACGCTTTTAAAAGAACTGAGTTATTTCCACAAACTCAAATTTGCAAATCCCAATTATCTTTACAATAATTATTATAATACATTTTATATGTTGAACTAACTAACTAATCTAACAGAATTCATATTTTGAAACATCAAATATCTACGTCATCGGATTGCAAAGATATATTGATTTTAAAATCCGAGTTTAAAAAACTCAGTTCCTTTATGAAAACAATAGATTTTTTATATATTTTTTCTAGAAAATTCTCCAACTCCTCCTCAATACATATTCTGGTATCATAACTCCCGGATGATAAACTACGATGTAGAACGAGGTGTAAAAGTGGATATCCGAGCTGTGGAGGATACTGGGAAGCAGGGTGAGGAAGATGAGGGAGTAAGACGACCTGAAGAGTGGATTAGAACCCGTACCGTGAGTAGACTAGAGCTGCCAGCAGCTAGGAAGGAGGATGAAGGAAACTATACCTGTATGCCCAGTAATTCAGAGCCTGCTACTGTTCATGTATTTATCCAAGAAGGTAATTTTTAATAAATATCTTCTCCATGTTGATATATGTCAGTATAATTAGTGTTTTGTTTTCATTTTTCAAAGTTTGTTTATTTTTTTCTTTTCAAGTTTGAAGTTTACAGGAGAAGTTTATATTTACTTAGCTCTTTAAATCTACAGAGAGTATCTAGTAGAAGGGAGAGGGTGTCATCATCTAATAAACTATTATATATATATACTTGTCGTGTCATGTCTTCAACAGAAGGTTTATTGCGGGTATAAATTTGAAAAAAATTTACACAATTTTGAGTTGTCGAATATTTTGGAGTTCCGGCATTGAAAAATCTGTTAAATTTCACATTAACAGTTTTTAATGCAAATGAATTTGGCAATGAAAAAATGGTTGCCAGTAGAGGATCCCTTAAGAGATAAAATTGTTGTGAAAAAGACCGGTTCGTAGGGCCATTGAAGCCTTGTAATATATAACTATTTACAGGTTAAAGAACATTTTCAAGTTTTTGTAAAAAAATGATTTCTAATTGATACGACATTCGTTTTAAAATTTAATGTTACTGAAGTAGGCTTTGCGAGAATAATAAAGATATCTTATTTCATACAAATATTTCAAATCACATTAAGTATACGTATTTGTTCAAATATCTTTTAAAATGTTTCTTGTTAAATTTTTTTTTAATTTTGGTTATTCTTTAAAGGGAGTGACCGGCAATGTATAGTAGTTGAACTAAGAATGTAGTATTGTGGAGAAATATTTTAGGATTCAATTGAGACATATAAAACGTTTTAACGGTGCATAATTACTGAGTTTGAGCGCAAAGCCGACGTTCAAAATCATCCATTTGGGTGGTTATGTTTTGAGAATAGATTTAAAAAAAAATTTTAAATAACGACGACGAAAAATGTATCAAGAATTCAACAGTAAACTAACTAGATGTTTAGGAACATATTTCTCAAAAGAAAGGAATTGAGTCTTTTCCATAAACTCTGATTTTATAATCCCTATATCTTTGGATTCCAATGTCATAAATCTTTGATATTTCAAACTTATATTATTTGATCTAACAGAATTCATAGTTTGAAATATCTAAGGTCTACGACATTGGAATCCGAAGATAAAGGATTTAGAAAAGCAGAATTTGTGGCAAAGACTCAATTCCTTTGTCAATAAATTAATGAATCAATTATTTCTTTTTCATCCTTAAATTGAATTTCATATCCTTTACGAATTTGTTCCCAGATTTCTGAAAATTCTTCTAATGTCGTCTTTTCAATAAAAATTCCAGGAATTCCACAGAAAATGTTTGTAAACAATGAAAAATTACCAAAACGAATAACTGAATAAGATTTCATATTTTCGATGATGAGAGTTAATTATTTTCTCAACCTGTTCTTAAACAACTAACTAGTTTATTGTAGAATTTTTGTTACATTTTTTGTCGTCGTTATTTAATAATTTAAAAAAATTGATTTTCAAGACGTAACCACCCAAATGGATGATTTTGAACGTCGACTTTGCGCTCAAACTCAGTAATTATAAATCATTAAAACGTTTTGTAAGTCTCAAATGAATCCTAAAAAATGTCTCCACAATATTACATTCTCAGTTCAACTACCATACATTGCCGGTCACTCCCTTTAAACCGATTTTACATATACTAAAATCCTCCATAGATTTCTAAAGTGACAGAGAGGGCTAAAATAAAGCAATGAGTTTTCCATTTTTTGTTTGAAAAAGTTTCCAAACAAAGGGTTAAAGGGAACTATTGCGAATTATTAAGGAAAATCTTCGAATTGGAAATAGGAAAATTTTCTAATTTTTACAATATTTCCAACTTAATGTATACACGTTAGATATTTCAAACTATAATTATTTGGTTTAAATAATTAGAATTTGAAAATTTGAGTTTGTGGCAGTTTATTTACAAATTAACTCGGATGAAACAAAGATTAAAGCACAAAATTCATTTGTTTCTGAATAAAACGTTCCCGAATTTCGAGTCCATTTCTTCCCGAATAAAACTTTCCAGAATTTCGAGTCCATTTCTTCCCGAATAAAACGTTCCAGAATTTCAAGTCCATTTCTTCACAAATAAAGCGTTCTAGAATTTCAAGTCCATTTTTCCCCGAATAAAACGTTCCAGAATTTCAAGAAAAATTAAAAAAAAATTGTGAAAATTACATACAAGATGTTTTATAAAAGGAATGAAAACAAACTCGCAGTTGAATTCAGTTTTTTATTCAAGTACTTGGTGGGAATTTAACACTGCAGTGAACGGACTTTCAAAAAACAGAATTATAAAGCTTTAGAGGTCAAAACATTCGTATAATAAGTCCATGGATTAAGCAGTTTTCCGTATTTTGCTCAGAAAAACGGATAATATTAATATTTTTTCTTTCTTTTTTTCTTAAATTCCTTTTAAATGGCAGTGGTCGTGGCCTAGAAAAAATAACTACAAGTTTTGTAGATTAATTTTATTTCACACAAAAGTTTTGACCTCAAAGTACTTCCAGAAGACAGGAAATTATTTTTGAGTTTGTTTGAATACAATTCCTTGTTGCTGAATTGTCCTAGTTTGAAAGTTTGGTTAAGCCATAAAACTTTCATTATCAGATATTTATGCAAACTTTATGATTTATAATAAAAAACAATAAATTAACCTACTATAGGTTTCCCCCTGGTAAACTTATCTAGGTTTTACCATTTTTTTTGCTTGAACACGAAACCCAACCTAATTATCATGGTTCAGTTCTCAAGTTTTTTTATGGACATTTTTTCTCTAACAAAATATCATTTTGTTACTCAATAATAGTCATGTTAAGTGATTTTTATTACATGCTTTTCGCTTATGAAATGTATTTTTTAAAACAGGTTCTATTATATATAACAAATGAAGTGAAAAATAAATTGTCTTTTCTGAATAAACCAATTCAAGGGAAACCCCAAATGTTTAACAATTAACTAGAAAGCCAACCATTAGCCTTGATTTTGATTAAGCAAAAATCTAAATTTTGTAAAAATATTTAACATGAATAAAAAAATTCAAAATGCTGAAAATTATTAATTTATTTTATAATAGAATTACTTTCTATGATGCATTTATTTTTATGTTTTCACCCAAGGTATCTTAAAAAAGAACGTATTTAATTGGGACTGCACCCAGTGCCCACGTAATTTCTAGTAACCCCTCAGTGTATCTTTTATAACCTTTTCTCAGTAAAAAGAGATGAATTTTGTCAATTTTGTCGATTTTGTCGATTTTGTCGATTTTGTCAATTTTGTCAATTTTGTCAATTTTGTCAATTTTGTCAATTTTGTCAATTTTGTCAATTTTGTCAATTTTGTCAATTTTGTCGATTTTGTCAATTTTGTCAATCTGTCAATTTTGTCAATTCTATCAAAATGTATCTATGTTATCAATTTAAAAAAACAAGGATATCTCCATCACTTCTGCACAGATAAAGCTCAGCTGGGTACCGTGGTGAATCTAAAACTGGAGGGTCACGTAAAATATTTTTTATAATTTTCAGCTTTCTAACATGATCATTTTTTAACCAAGTCTCGTTCCAAATATTTTATCTTTATGTTGGTCTCAATGCACAATAAAAATTCATAATTCACGAGCTGAACATCTTCAAGAATAGCTTAGATAGTGGATACACCTGAATGCAACTAGCTTTATTTACAAAAGTATATATCTATATTTATATCTTTCCAGAGTCTAATATCTGCTTAACTTTGGAGTAAAACCTGCTTTGATAGATCCATTTACCAATATTCATGCACTGCTGACTTGGTAGAAATATCAAGTATATTAATATGAAAACAGGAATTGAAATGATTTGGTAGGCAGGCAGGAAGTAAGGCATGATGTTTTCTAGTTGTGCATTTAGATTGTCCATTAGGTATTTAGTCTGAGCTGGGAGCTCCTGTGTTGGATACTCATTATCAGAATCCCTTGATCCCGATATCCAGAGAGGTCACTTTTGAATTATGTCTCTTGATTTTGGATACACGCAATTTCTCTATATAGAGGCAGCAGGATAGGTAGGCATTAGGATAGGTAGGCACTAGGATATGTAGGTAGTAGGATAAGTAGGCAGTAGGATAGGCAGGCAGTATAGGTATAGTATAGGTAGGCAGTATAGGTGTAGGACAGGTAGGCAGTAAAGGTGTCGGATAGGTAGGCAGTATAGGTGTAGGATAGGTAGGCAGTAAAGGTGCCGGATAGGTAGGCAGTAGGTGTAGGATAGGTAGGCAGTATAGGTGTAGGATAGGTAGGCAGCATAGGTGTAGGACAGGTAGGCAGTAAAGGTGCCGGATAGGTAGGCAGTAGGTGTAGGATAGGTAGGCAGTATAGGTGTAGGATAGGTAGGCAGTATAGGTGTAGGATAGGTAAGCAGTATAGGTGTCTGATAGGTAGGCAGTATAGGTGTAGGAAAGGTAGGCAGCATAGGTGTAGGATAGGAAGGCAGTATAGGTGTAGGATAGGTAGGCAGAATAGGTGTAGGATAGGTAGGCAGTATAGGTGTAGGATAGGTAGGCAGTATAGGTAAAGAATAGGTAGGCAGTATAGGTGTAGGATATGTAGGCAGTATAGGTGTAGGATAGGTATGCAGTATAGGTGTAGGATAGGTAGGTAGTATAGGTGTAGGATAGGTGGGCAGTATAGGTGTAGGATAGGTATGCAGTATAGGTGTAGGAAAGGTAGGCAGCATAGGTGTAGGATAGGTAGGCAGAATAGGTGTAGGATAGGTAGGCAGTATAGGTGTAGGATAGGTGACATAAAGATAAGACTTTTATTTTAATAAGAAGGGTAGCCAGGAAATTAGGTAGGTCTTACAAGAATGCAATCTGGCATGCAAGGTTTGGCAGGAATAAATCAATATTTAGTGAGGACATGAAAAATTAATGGTTAGAAAGCGTGTTCGTATTATAGAAAAGTATGTTAATGTTTGTCGTAGAAATTGAACTTGGTTTGCAAGCTCCTAAATATTTATACTTACAGTGTACATAATATCATTTTACATGCAACCTTTTATTATTCTGATAGAGCTATAGGGACAAGTGTAATAGGTCTTCCTAGTCAAGGAATATTCTTAAGATTCCATTAATGGAATAGGTATATTCTCATGGATTCCATTAATGGAATAGGTATTTTCTCATGGATTCCATTCTTCTGGTAAAACGTTCACAAGTCTGCAGATTTCTAAAATATTCGAAAATTTCTTTGCTTTGAATAATTTCTTGAAGCAAAGAGTATTTTCTAATTTGATTTGAATAATTTTATAAAAATTCTAGGTTCAGGGGATGGAAATAAGATTTTGAAAGATTTTGGTTGTTGTTGTAAGTTCAAGTGAGCATTCAAGAGGTTTATACCCGATTCCCAATAGTACCTTTACATTTTTTTTCTGATTAATAATTTGGAAGATATCATCAGTTTTATAGTTTGGGAAGTGTTAAAATATAGTTTTGACATTTTTATCCTCAAGCAGAAGTTCGCTATTAATTTATTAGAGAAGCCACAATTATAAGTAATCACTTTTAAATAGAAGATGATGGATATCTCAAAAATACTTGATCAGACAAAGCTGCCAGAGTACTGTTGTAAATCAAACATTTTACTCTGTAGATGGAGAATCACTTAAAATTACAACTGCAGTTTCTTTCGGATGAAATATTTGAAGAAACTCCTGTAGACTTCCCTGTTGCTTAGCATTAATATTCGTGACGTGATTAGCCGCCATAGTTAGTCCTTTAAACTAGAGTTTGGATTTCCTTCCATACATACTATTTCCGGTTCTAACTTCAAACCGGAAATTGAGTGCAAAGAAGTCGATATAAGATGTCGAAACCATAAATCACTAATATTTACTTTAAGTACAGCCATCATGCTATGATGGATTGTTGTTCAAGAAAACACGAATCCTACCTAGAAATTGATATTTATACAGCTACTTAATACATAAGGTAACTGGTACCTGGAGTACCTGAAATACCTGGTACATTTCGTAACTGGAGTACCTAGTACCTAGAATAACTATTGCATGGGGTACCTGGTACCAGGTGAAAATAGTACCTTGGGTACCTGGAATACCTAGAGTCCTGGTACCTAGGTACCTAAAGTAATGGTACCTAGAATTCCTGGTATACCTAGTGCGCCTGATACCTAGTGTACCTGAAGTACCTGGTCCCTGAGCCACCTAGAGTATCTTTTACCCGGGGAAACTATGTAGTACCTTAGGTACCTTGAGTACATGGTACCTGGAGTACATGTTACCTGGAGTACATGATACCTGGAGTACATGGTACATAGAGTACATGATAATGGAGTGTATGGTACTTGGGGTAGTACCTTAGGTACCTTGAGTACATGGTACCTGGAGTACATGTTATCTGGAGTACATGATACCTGGAGTACATGGTACATAGAGTACATGATAATGGAGTGTATGGTACTTGGGGTACCTGGAACCTGGGGTACCTGGAGTAACCCGGTACCTGGGGTACTAGTTACTTGGAGTACCTGGCACCTTGGGTACCTGGAACTTGTAACCTAAAGTACCTGGTACCTGAAGTAGCTGTTTTTGTCCTGATTATTACGTAGAGACGGTAGTTAAAACTGAATAAAGAAATAGTAGTATTTTATTACACATATTTTATACCTTATACGCGTAAAATTAATATAAAATTTAATAATAACAGTATTAATTGTTTCTTTGTGTCATTTATTTTCATAAAACTCATTTACTAAATCCAATTTATTATTCAGGAAACAACATTACTCCGTTACGAGTAGAAGCACAGGAGCAACAGAACTCTGAGCAGGAGAATACGAACTTTGCTCCTACCTTGATAAATCCAACTTTACTCATGGTTCTACTCCTAGTCTTAGTATTCACTGCAAACTAAGCTAAATTAAATTTTGCGAATTCTTTATTTTGTGTTAATCAAGTAATGTCGTGAAGCGCCAAAACTAAGAGGGAACTAAACTTACCTGTACAGTGTGCAAGGTTACAGTACAATGTACGGCAGGGCTGTTCTAACTCCTGTACAAGGTTACAGTACAACGTACGGCAGGGCTGTTCTAACTCCTCAACAAGGTTACAGTACAATGTACGGCAGGGATGTTCTAATTCCTGTACAAGGTTTCAGTACAATGTACAGCTGGACTGTTCTAACTCCTGTGCAAGGTTACAGTACAATGTACGGCAGGGCTGTTCTAACTCCTGTACAAGGTTACAGTACAACGTACGGCAGGGCTGTTCTAACTCCTCAACAAGGTTACAGTACAATGTACGGCAGGGATGTTCTAATTCCTGTACAAGGTTTCAGTACAATGTACAGCTGGACTGTTCTAACTCCTGCATAAGACAAACAATCAACTTTGTGTTGAAAAGTGACAATGACATTGTAATAAGGCTAAGACTATCGTTAACTGTGAATAAAAACTTTTCTGTTACACTGTGCATTAAACACGGTACGCTCTACACTGAACATTTTTGTGAAAAAACCTTTAAAACTTATAAACATGTTGATAAGAATGTGTCTATAATCTGCAATTTTCAATTTATCAAAAGTTTAATTTGAAACATTTAAAATTGGCAAAGAAAATAGATAAATCTTACATCAAGTTTAGCAATAATTCACTTTTTACAATCTCTCTTTAAACCAAGATTTTTAAACAAAAGAATAAAATAGAGAAATTGTTTCTCTTCTTATGTTTCGTAGAATTATAAATTTCACTATGTCGCGTTTATATATTAAAAAGTAGCCCTCTTAGGAAATATAAAACCTAAACTTAATTAGTCCCATTAAGTCCCGAGATATTTTAGCACAAACTTTTGTAAAACATTGTCAAGATTAACAATTAAACAGCAGCTTTATCTTATCAATATTTACAAATATATATTCTTCAATTTTAAACAAATGAAATCAACGGATAACTGAGAAGCAGACTAACCTTAGCTTAAAAGAAATGTAGGCGTATTTTCAAAATACCTTTGTTGAATTCACACTGTCCGCTAGTGTACATTCTGCATTATTCTGGTAATTTCAACATAATATAAACACGGATTACACAAATCATTCGGCATATACTGGGAGGGTACCGCACTTTTTCGTGATTTTCTCCCTTCTTTTCAAAAGCTCCATGACGGGCATTGGAGTGAGTTTAAAATAAATCAAGGTTTAGATAATCACCCTTTTGTTAAAAACCTTCTTTTTGTTTATATTATACTGTTTACAAATAAAAAGTGGAAACATCTAGAGATATAAGCGTCTATATAAAGATAATATCTAGAGAATTCTAAAGAAAAGTGAAGTCTACTTCATGTTTTATCCTTTTGCAACAATGGCTGGGGCTGAGTGGTGTCGATAAACAATTTTTCAATCTGTGTATCCAGGAAATACAGAAAATCTAGGAAATCTGGGAAATCTAAACCGATTTCTGACCAAACACTTGAATGGCAATAATAGACTTTAGACTGGATTGTAGGAACATATAAAAAAAAAACACTCCGTTTTTATCTTTTTGTTCCGGAGATACAGAAGTGATTCTTAAATCACCACAATCAAATAGATGACACAGGAAGAGGTGGAAGGGGGAGGGGGGTGTATTCTTTCTTTAAAATGTTTTTCATAACTTGTCAACTTTTTTATATGTACATTGTTTTGCTAGTTGATTTTTAACATGTCTTAAAATTTCAATTTAAAAAAAAGCACTAATAGTGAGTTGCAAAAAAACAAGACATTGCATTTATAAACCCAATATACGATTCACAAAGGTACCTTTTCAAACGACTAACGAATAACGACTAACGACTAACGATGAGGTCAATATCGTTGGTTTTCAATCTGTATAAAGCGTTATCTCTCTCCTCCATGATAAAGCAGAGGTTTAAATAGTGCTGTTGTGAATTGGACACGAAAAAAGATGAATTTTAGTTGTTCCTTAATTTTCGTTTATTTTGTGACTCTCTGTAAACTTTTACATTTTAATAAAAGGATTATCCTTGGTTTAATATAACTTTATGAATTGAGTAGAAAGTTAAAACATGGGTTTCATAAATTATTAATAAATTTCTAAAAACTGGCTTAACGCGCTGTCATTCTACGAAATAGTTTACATTACTCTACGTCGAGAATAGATATTTTACAACTCTATTTAGGAAATTATTAAAATGTTTAAATAAATTGTGTTTTTGTCAGCTTTAAATATAATCATTTATACTTATCTAATATCACTGTCAGCTAAACATAAGGAGATGGTAAAATTTATGTCACATTACTGGTACGACGTTATGTCCTCGAGTAGCTTCTCCAGTTTTGATTTTATGCACAAGTATGAGAATGGTAAAGGAATTGGGTTATTGCAACAAACGCTGATACCTATGCAACCCAATGTCGTAGATCTTAGATTTTTCAAACTAGAAATTCTCCTAATTCAAATAATCTAAGTTTTAAATATCAAAGGTTTACATTATGTTGCTTTTCTTCTTCTTTTTTGTCTCAAAAAGTGTGCCCCACCCCCTTTCGGAATTAAAAGGGGGTGGGCAAGTGCCCCTTAACCCCCACTCCCTAGCTACGGGTCTGATTTGAATAAACTTAAAAACTTAACCCACAAGTCAAGTAAAAAATCTGTAATGAGAAAATTAAAATAGTTAAAATATTCCTAATATACATAAAAGTCAAATGTTTATTTTTTCTTTCAAACATGACATTTACAAAATTTAAAAAAATATACTTTGAAAATCTTGAAATGTGAAAGAACTAAAAACGATTGGACCTATTTACTCCCCACCGCTCCCCCATCTCCACCTCGCCCCCCCCCTTGAAAAGTTAAAAAAGACTGAACGGATGAGGCATATTTTAGGTTAAATATTGATCAGAGTTATTTCTAGAATTTTGTTGAAAATCCACCAATATAAAGAATCTGCTAAATATTTTCTTATCTACGGAGAGTGTAGGCTAGAACAACAGGCGCGTAGCTCTCTGAATGCCAACCCTTGTTTCGTAGAAGTACATTTAGAACTGAAAACAGTTGAATAGTGGAATATTTCTACAATAAGTCCTTAATTGTAAGTAAACTTGAAATAGAAGGTTGGTAAATATTTAATATTATTTTTAATGTTTGCTCAAGATATTTCGATTAAAATATTTCCGCGGTAAAAGTTAAATACGTCATATTCTTTTAAGATATTGTTCTTCTAAACTTTGTTCTTCTCTCAATTCTATGAATGAAGTAGGATGGGTGGGGTGTGGGGATGAGGGAG